ATTTCAAAATTGTACTCAAGTTTTGAGATGGCAAATTTTATTATTATTTTGGAAGAACTAGGGCTAGAGAACTTCCTATGTTTCTCTCAAAGACTGTTCCAAGGATGTGTTCCCCTAGCATTGTCTATCAGTTTTGTTTCAGGGAATATGATTTTAAAAAAATAAAAAACACATACCTGTTGTAGGTACGTACTGTAGGAGACTATTTTATATATATTTCAATATACATTATTGCCATCTGGAAAATAGTAAGTAGCATGCTAATTCTACTTTGCTCCAGAAATCCTAAACCTTTGCATGAAGGAATGAAGAACTGCTCTTATGTTGTTCATCTGTTGCTGAGAACCAAGATATTTAGGAATTCATTATTTTGCTTCCACTAATGTCAAAGAAACCCTCTTGTTGACCTCAGCTGAATGAGGCTCAGGACCTGTCTATAATAATGCATGTACTAGAAATGCTATTTTTCCAATATATATATTTTGTAGTTTTCTAGTTTTATTCTACTAATAACATTGTACAATTGTAGGTATGACAAATTACAGCTAGAAAGACTTCAATTTAGGAGTCATAATTGTATGCATTCTGTTAATATTTCATGACCGGGGTGATTTAACATTTTTCCATTGATGGATGACATTCTTGCCAGGACTACATAGGAACTGAGGACAAAAGATAAAATGAGAAGTATTGCAGCTTTATTACAACAGATGATTCTTTGGAAATGGGCTTTTAGATCTGAAATCAAATATAATTAGAAGCTTTCATCTCTTGCAGAAAATCCATACTGATTTTCATTTTTCTCTCTTGAACAAAAGCTATATGCTATTTTTTTTAAATAAGCTTTAATGTTCAACTTTGGAAAAATGACAGCTCAAATGTCTTCTTTAGCTAATTTAAAACTTTACTTCTTCCCATTGACAACTACTGTGTGTTTAAAGAAGCTAATCCTGTAACAGAGAAAAGTGATTTATCTAAGAACTGGATATCAGCTGGGGAAAAATACTGAGTTTGGTAATTTTTTTACAAATTTGTTTTTTTATATTTGATAACTAAAACCAGTAGAAGCTATACAGAGCAGGCATGCACACACACCTGTTTCTTGCATTTGACCTTCCTTTCATACTTCTCTTCGCAATCTGCACTCCATTAAGCCACAGTTCTGCAAACACAGAAGTGAATCCACAGCCACATCTGCAGATTGGCTTTCAGCTTAACATTCTCTTTTCAGAGAGGGTAATGGAGCTGACACCGGGGGCAGGCACTGTGCACACTTGTGTTTTTATACAGTACTCAACTTAATGAGGCTCTAATCCTGATGAACCATCTAGATGCAGTTAAAGTATGAAATAATTAATAAGGGAATTCCATTAAATTCCTTCCCTGTTCTCCTTAAATGATGGCTTAGAAGATTGTCCAGTTAGAGAAATCAAAGTCCTAAGAATCTAACTTTTTGCATTACATGCAACATAAGTTCCTTCTCTATTGCACTGTAAAATATGAGTATATGTCTTCAGTAACTCAAACCTCAGTATCTGGAGGGGCTGACTGTAAGTCAGTAACTAGATACATTTATCAAGGACACTGATGGTCAAAATGGGGTTTGTACACTTAGAGATTGTGACTGTAAACTGGACTAGAGTGTGTATTCTGGTGAACCTGAACACAGGTTCACATGCACAAATTTGGGACTCAGCCCAGTTACCCAGGTAGTCCATCATACTTTGTATTTATGCACTCAATGACAGTGACTACTCTTTCTGAGCTCCCACCTAAGTCAGTGTGAGTGCTATCAGATGCACATTTATGAAGATCACATTATTTATGTGTCTAGACAGAGAGACTAGTTACTGGAGTAAAAATTTTGGCCCATGTACCTTAAATATATAAAACATTTTTGAGACTGATCTCACCAACTTACTTTAACCTACAATATCCTCACCTATGCAATCCTTAATGTAGGAATTCTTGCCATTTTCTCACAGTTGTGCTTAATGAAGTAATTTTCATTCTTCACTTTTTTTTTAATAACCATTTTTCAAGTGTGGCATGACATCCTGCCAGTAGAGTTATATCAGTGTGCTTAAGATCAGTACAGATAGGACAAACTCTGTGTACATGCCAGATTCAGTGTAGGTAGTGTAAAAGCTTTTTGTGACTTTCATAAAATGAGGAAATATCCACAAACAAGAAACCCACCTATAAATCAAACTTCCTGCCTATAACAAAATCTCCTCCTGTATCTGTAGAGAAAAAAACCCTTCAATCTCTATTTTCTGGATTATCATGTAACCAAGATTATCATGTCTCTGGATTATCTAGTAACCAAGATTAATCCAATATATGTATAATGGGATGCATATGAAGAAAGGTTTGAGTCACTACCTGTAGTCCATGGCTTTATGGTCCTGGAATATTTTGACCATTCAATCCTGTGGAGGGAAGGGGGAGGGTGTTAAGCTCTCAAACCAAATGCTTGCATGATTCCCACCTGCTTGCTTTCCACACCTAGATAATGAGCTGGGGCCTAAGTAATCCTATTTTGAAATGAATTTTTGTCAACATAGTGTTCTGTTTCAAGAATATCTGTATGGTTGCATAGTCCCACAACCCTTCTTCCTCATGCTACATACTCAAGGTTCTTAGCTGATTTCTGTATGACAGAAAATAATAAATCCTATGTGTAAGTTAAATGCTGAGTCACTGTATTTCATTCAACTTGTGGAATCCTGACATGAATTTTTATTTGTGCTCTGCAAATGGCAAAAAAAAAATTACTTTCTTTCCTTTTCCATCTTTAGTGGACCTTCACTTGTTTTTCTCCTTTAAAGGAAAATACTGATTTTCCTTTGACTGTGTCATCAGAGAACAGGACAGTTGATATGTGTGTGTGAAGACAGACAATCAGTTTTCATATAAAAATACATAGAGGAAGATACCTATGTAACAGTCCCACAAAACCAAACAATGGAGCTGATGTAGAACATACAGGATATGGGCCAGGAGAACATAGAGAAACACTAATTGGATTATAGATTTTGCCTTGTCATAAATTAGTTATTCATTCAAATGCTTATGCCATTATCTTCATCACAGGGGAGTTCTACTCACAAGATCTTTTTATTCTTGCCTAAGTAGGGTCCTGTACTCTGCTTCCAGGAAATATTTGATATGCTGCCAGACTCAGCCCTGTTCTTTCTCTCTCCTGCAACTTCACCTTTATGTGAAATGCACCATGTAGGTATGGGGAAAGAAATGCATGTGAGATTTAAATCTAAGACTAGCCAAATGTCAGAAATGGTCACAGCAGAGGTAACAGTAAGTAGGAAAATAATTTCAGCTCATCAGATAGCTTTCCTCAGAAGCCCCTTTTGGGAAAGGAAACTTCTGTGGAGAAGAATGCTCTGAAGAACACACAATTCAGAAAAATCTATTTTCTTTGAGTCTGAGCTCTACTTAATTAGTGTTCTGACATTCAGGCTCAAAAACAAAGGAGAAAGCCAAGTCGTGAAATATTCAAATGGTCTTGCAGAGCAAACTTCTATCAGAATTGTCCCTTGGGCACGTCCCAGACGAGCATTAGGCCAGGGCAGCCCTTACACAGGAGACAGTGCAGGGTCCATTCTGCTGAGAACCTTCTGTCTCCGAACAAGCCCTATTTTTATTTCCAAAACCAGCTACTGTCAAATGTAAGTGACAAGCAGAAATACTTTCTGGTATAAATATTTGCCAACTGTAATTAACATGCATTATATACGTGAGTAAATATATAACAACTGGAGGCAAAATACTGATAGGAAGCATTTTCTCTTAAGATTTGGGTTTTTCTCATTGTCCCACACTTACCCATCATTGTACTTTGATGCTTCTCAAGTGATATTCTGAGTTTGGGGGTGTCCAACTTCATGTGCAGTAAGTGGCAACCAGGGAAAAAAGGTATCTATCAGGAGCCTAAATCCAGTACTTGTATTTCTTTGCAATTACATTCTAAAAATACATATATGAGGTTAGTTTCTTGTATTTTAAAATGCTTTAAAAGTGATTAAAAGAAAAAGCTTTTACTAAAATATCTGATTTTTGGTTAAAATACCAGTTTCAGAAGACAGTATTAGAAGCTAGACTCATGCCTGGCTAGAGAGCAGAGCTGGGTACCAGTGCTTTTAATGATTCAGCATCCCAGCTCTTTCTGACCATGTGGAAGGGTTATTTCCTCTTACATGATTAAAAAAGAAACTTCAACATATTCATTATTTCTTTTTCACTGAAAGTGGCGCAGTCTCTTGTAAGAAATCGTGCCTGATTTAGTGCAATACAACAGTCTCTTGCTTTTGTATTTTCGTCCTGTGAAACTTCTATATTTCTATAACTTCTATAGAAAATAACCTGGCCTGTTCTTACCCACAAACAGCTGCAGAATTGGCCGCCCATGGCGAGCATTCCCCGGAGCCGCGGTTCCGGCGTCGCGGGGCTGCTCCTGAGGGCTGAGGCGTGAGGCTGAGGTTTGAGAGCTGAGGCCTGAGCGTGAGGCTGAGGCGCGAGGGCTGAGGCCGGGCCCCGCTCCCTCCCCGCCGCCCGGCTCCCGCTTTGCTTTGCCCCCTGCCGCAGGCGCCGCGGGGCTCCAACGCTGCCCCAGGACAGGTTCGGACGGGAAAGGGCCAGGCTGAGGCTGGCATGGGGAGCAGCTGGCACAAAGGCTGAGGGAGTCCCGGCCTCCTCTCGCTCCTGCCGGGGCTCCAGCGCTGCCTCAGCACAGGTTTGGGGCAGGGAAGGGCCAGGCTGAGGCTGGCATCGGGAGCTGCTAGCACAAAGGCTGAGGGGAACCTCCCGGCCTCCTCCCGCTGCTGGCGGCGCTCCGCTGGCTTTTAATCAGCTCTTTAATGTATCCCTGTGCTTCACACATCTCACCTCGTTAACTGGCGGGAAATATTTGTGGTCTCTCTTTTCCCAAACTTTTCAGAAGAGACACTTCACTGCAGAGCTATTAAACCACTGAAAAAGAAATGGCAGAAAGCTGTGGGCAGGAGCAGACAAGGTGGATAACGACCGTCATTATGAGCACAGCTCTGCAGGTAGGACAGCTCTTGTGAAAGCCAGCATCTGACTCACTAGGAAAGGCTGAAAGAATTCCCTATATTATGTATATGGGATCAATTTTAATCAATTTTATCAATTGCAATGAGTACATTTTTAATCAATTTTTTTGATCTTTTTAATCAATTGCAATGAGTACATTTTTTTCAGGATAAACCAGATATTAGTCTGAAACTGCTTCTATTAGAATACTGGTTATTTTTGTGTGCAACTGTATTTTCTCCTAGCTACTTCCATATCTGTTTAGTATTCTTGCCACCTGCTATTCTGAGTTACACTGCTTTAGGATATTCTCCTGACTCATCGTTTTTGCACTGCACTGATGCTTCTTTCAGTTTGCTCTATAAATAATTCCATCAGAAATGTTGCTGAATTTTTTCTGAATTTCTCCCTAAATATTTTAATTTTTCCTATGCAGTATCAAATAGGGGTAGACAATTACCCTGTAAGTACATAATTCAGTTTAAAATACTGAGTCTTACAGATCTTAATATATATTTTTTTATCTGTTAACATCAGAAGCCTTGACTCTGTTCCCAAGTAAAGTGAAAGGGTATGTCAAGGAGCTGGTAATTAGCTTCTGCAGCTGAGGCCAATTTCATGCCAGCTGGAGAGAATTTAGAGGCAAGAGAGCTTTGATTCAGAGGCAGGTATGTCTTATGCAAGCTTGGCTGACAAGGTTATCGCCCCATCTCCGCTGTGTAAATGGGTGAACCATGTTGAAATAATTCCTGAATCACCTCACTTTAAAGCCTATACTTACTTGCCTACTCATTTTGGAGTTTACAGCCTGTAAGCTGTGCATGTTTGTGCCATAATATGGTGGGAGGTAATGGATGGCAGTGATTTCATCAGCCATACCAGCATAACTCACTCCTGTCCTCAGCTCAACTCCAAACTACTGCTCTTAGTAAGGCCTCCTCATAAGCAAAGCAATGGAGGGAACTGAATACAAATCCAAGATGGCTTTTTGTTACAGCCATAATACACAGAGTATCACCATACCATTTCAGGAAGCTTTAAAACAGAGCAACACCTCACCACATCAGAAGGCTTCAGGTCTCTGCCCATGCAGAGTAACATCACATTATTTCAGAAGGCTGCAAGCTCTGCCCTTCTTGTTCTTTGTCCCAACCTTTTATCCCCTCCTGTTGATGCCCTGCACCTGTGTGCCCTCTGTTCCCTTTGGTGGTTGCTCAGTGCCCCTGGGCACTCCCTGGCTCATTGCTGTCAGTGCTGCTCACCTGCTGCTCACAGCTGCACCCACTGGGGATGAGGCTCAGCCACAGCCCCACTCCCAGTTACCACACACTGTGCACCCACAGCTTTTCTGTATCAGTTTTGGTTATGAGCTATCATTTTCATATAGACATTAGTTATATTTGTACATTAAACATTTCAGCAGTGGCTTTGAAGCTGAGATTTTTTTTGCAAAATGTAGCTAAACCTTACAAGCAGTTGCCACTGAGTGTACCCTTTCCAGACAATTGAAAGCGTGACATTTCTGGTTAATGTCTCCTTCAAGGTTCACTTGCAATCCAGATTTTCTGTTGTACTCTTCCACTAAATCATGGCACTTCCCTACATAAGCAGGCTGGCTGTGTGTTGAATGGGTAGGTTAAAGAACATGTTATTAGCTAAAAACTCTCAGTGATTTAACCTTTAATATATGTGTGTTCGTGCAGCTTCTGTGGAACATACTGCAGAAATGCTTTTTGCAGGCTGAAAAATACATCCAAACACATTCCATTCTGTAGATGATTATGCTGCATAGCGCAATGTTCCACTTTTCCTGTGTGGATTGCTTTCTGTCAAAAAGCTTTAAAGAAAATCATGTCCCATACAAAATTGCTGAACGATTTTCCAGCTGAGATGCTGACATCTGTGAAAATAATGCAGCCTAATTAACCAGTCACAGAAACACACTACTGCATGATCCTCCCTTCTGCAAATCCTCTATTAGCACATCTTACCAAAACAGACTGTAAAAAAAACCCTTCTTTATGCATAATGCAAGAGTTTCCTAAGACAAACAACATACACATATATAATTATTATTCAGTGTTTGTAACTTCCAATCAAATACTTCAAAACTGATCATGTTTAACAATTTAGTACTTTTTTTAATTTTTAGTGGAATAAGAAATACTTTTTGAACAACAGTGCCAAAGGTCTATCTATAGTGGTCCAGCTAATGCTTTAAGAATATTTCTAACATGTTGTCTGAAGACTTTTCAAAATAACCTTTTAAAAAACCTTTTAAAATTTATTTAGGATCATGAAATTTCTACAGTTCTGCAGAGGCAACAACACCGAGTTCGATATTCAGAGTCAGTGGAAACTGGATCTGTGATTTTTCCTCTTTCTGGTACACTACTTTAAAGTTCATGCTTTTAAATCATAAAATCCAAAGAAGTACAGAGTCAGGGCAGTTATTTAGTTGTGGGCTACACTACACTGAATAAAATCTACCTTGTTGGGATGTTGTGCAGTAGTGGAAGGAGTTGGGCTATGTATGTAAATCAGAGGATGAAACAGATAATGTTGGGGATTAACCACTTTCATTGTAATTTTTTTTTTTTTTTGGACCTGCTGTACAACAGCTACATTAGATTTGGTGATCATCAGTTGAACTGTTCAGTAAATTTGTGTTATAACTGAGCAAACATGCTAAATGCCACAAGCACATAAGCTGCCATCAAGATCTTTCATATACATGGCTGTAAATGTAAGAGCCATTGGCTTTCTACCTCCAAGTTGAATTTGCACAGCTAGTAGTGGCAGAGGAGGCAAGAAAAAGATTATTTGAGTGGATTTGATTAAGAAATCACTGAAATTGTAAACATGAAACAGCTGGTTTTCCTTTTTAGAACAGATGATGTTGTAGACATGTAGATGAGATACTTCCATTTGCCTGAACTCTAAGGACTAGCACACGTTGAGATCGACTTTTGTATGCTCAGGTGTTAACCCTCCTAAACTTCAGCCTTAACTTTCCCTTTCACAACACCTTAAGTTGACAGAGATGTAAGTTCATTTTTCATGGCAGACAGTTAAGCTAACTTTTAAGATTTTACAGCTGTTTCTTTCATTTAGAAACAGGACTTCCTGAGCTTTTCAGTCAGCCTTTGCATTTGCCCCAAATTCATTCCATTATAGCAGTTGCTTGTTCCTGAAGCAATGCTCTCTCTCAAAGGCATTCAGATGTGTCTGCTTTGAGTAGATGGAATAGCTGGTGGTTTTTGGATGTTACAGTCGAAAAATAACCTGAAATATTTGTAGTTTTATCTTAAAACTACTAGCAATCACTGGCCAAATCTCCCTGTCAGAGATATGGAAATTCATTCACGTTCTGTTCCATTGTGTTTCAGACTAATGGTTGCTTTAAGAATTGTGCTTTCCAGTTTGTGGTGAGAACTTAATCCCTTTACTGCCATGACCTGTACACTTACAGCAGTTTCCCCAATAGGCATTGCATTTATTCTGTCAGACACTCAAGACTTGCTCAGGACAGGGGAAGAAGAGTTTTCCAAAAGAATTCAGAAGTTCATAAACATCCATCGGAACAGCTTTTTCGTTTTGTCAGCTGCTCTTCATGGACCAGAAGAATGGAGTGTCATGTTCAGGATTCAGAGAAGGTATGATTTCAACATCAAACTGGACTTTATATTGCTAAGAAGAAATGAAATAGCAGTCTTGGATATGGAAACATTATTTTAGGAATAAATAGGACAAGAGGCAATAGACAGAAACTGATGCACAGGAAATTTCACCTGAACAGGACGAAGAACTTCTTCACTGTGAGGGTGACTGGCCACTGCCTACAGCAGTTGTAGAGTCTCCTTCACTGGAGGTATTCCAGACCCATCTGGATGCAATCCTGTGCAGTGTGCTCTGAGATGACCCTGCTTGAGCAGGGAGGTTGGAGTTGACACACTATGGTCCTTTCCAACCTTACCCTTTGTGAATTATTTCAGGAATACACAAATTTTATTTTACTAATTCACTGTAAAAAATTATTTAAAGCATTAGTTTATTAATAGCAAATAAAAAGAATACCAAGTGAATCAATCTGACATATCACAGGTAACAAAAGAGGATGTTCCTCAAAACAAAGCAAATAAGATTCCTTTCAATCATTTTAGGGCTATGGAGCATAACTATTTAAATTTTTTTTTCCAATTGGAAAATTAGACAATTCTCTTAGCTCTATAACCATATTTTCATGGTCATTTTCAAAACAGAGCAGGCAAGTTTATGTCATGAGAAAAGGCTGTAGTGTAAAGTGCAGATTTTTTACCAGCTTTTAAAATGTTTACTTGGAACACCATCTGTTACACTGTGCTAGAACAATTAAATAATCAACGTTATTTTACACCAAAAGTATAAAACTATGTTAGAACTGGTTTGTTTAAAACTTTTATCTCTGATTTCTAATGAAGTCTGAAAATTTGCATATTTTAGTACATACTAGCTGACAACAGTGATCAGATTGTGCTCTATGCTTGTAGTCAGAACTATTTTCTTGTAGGTACAGTAGCCCTAACTGCAGTTGGTTGTCACTCTTGGCCTCAGAGAAGTGACTATTCTAATGAAGTCTTTGATCTTTACCTCCTTAAGTAGCTAGCACCAGTTCCATTAAATCCTGGGCATTCTGCCAAATGCTGATGAATAAAGAGGGTATGAGATGAAATGTAAGAAATCTATTACCTGTTTGTGAAAATGTTGTAAATTTTCATGAGAGGTTTTAAAAGTTCAGCCACCATTCAGCAAGACCACATTATTCAGGTGATGGCAATGCTAATTCTCAATCTACTTTGTGGTTATGAACAATGGGTTTTGTGCACATGCTGATGACTAAAATGTGATGTTTTGGAACTGTATTCCATTTGGCAAGTTGGTAATTTTATTAAAATTAAATTTGTTTTTTCATTGCAAGCAATGAATTTTTTATTACCTGGCAGCTTGAAGTTCTGCTACAGTTTGTAATCACTGACTGAGCTTCTCCTGGTGGGGTTGAAACTTGTGCCATGTTCTTTGAAACTACAAGTCACCTGTTGGATTTGTTAAAAAACAAAGTCCCTTAGTATTGTCAGGTTATCTTCTATTACTGCTCCTTTCTCCTTATCCATGCTTTTGCTGCAGTTGGGGAAGGATTAGTTTTTATTATTATTAACAAGAAAACTACAGGATTATTGTTAACAACATGAACACCTTATGTAGAGTTGTGTATAGCAAGGGGGAAGTGGGAGAAAAGTAGTGTTTACCATAACAGCTTAAATGAGCATTCCACAAAAAACCTCAGTACATCTGCATGGTAAGTTTAAATACCTTGGAGGAAAGGCAAGACATGTTCAAATGACCAGTATTCTGTCCATACAATACTAAATTTAGACCTGCTGTTATTGGAAGCAAACCTATTTCTAGAAATAGATTTTCGTGGATCTAGGCAAGTACATGTAATTGTTTTTTTGCCGCACTTTGTTCATTCATGCTTTGTTTAGCCCATTCTAGTATGAACAAAATTGCACCAATTTATTTCCCTAATCTCAAAATGCAAATCCAACCCTTGTTTGTACATCACATTTTAGCAAAACTCACCAGGGACCCGAGTGCCTGTGCTTAGAGAAGGACAGTGCCTGTAACATTTATTTTTGCTAATTAGAAGCAAGGGCAGACAAGTTCAGCTGAGATACCTTAGCAGCAGGAGGTCCTAATGTGAATGACTCCAAGCCATCAGCCAGATTGCAGGAAGAACAGGTGGCGGGCACAAGGGGAGGGCACAGGGGACTGTGCAACTGAGCAGCTGGGCACTTCATCTGCATTATTTAAATTCTTTTTGGTTATTTAAAATTCCTCATTCTTTGCTGTGAAGTGCCTCTCCTGTTTTAGCTCTACAACAGAAAACAGGAGCAAAGGTAATTCAATGTTACGACACACTTAAGGTGCAATTCTTAGGGAGAGGCTCTGTGCTTGCCTAAGCTTTGATGTCTCTCCTCCATAATCTCACTGAATAACAACTCATGCTACTATTTTAAATCCTCAGATCCCCTTCTCAAGAATGAATGCATATTAATAACACTATTTATAGAAAGAAATAATTTTAGGTTAAAGTATTGAGTGAGCAAGTCTTTACGTGAAAGTAGAGGAATTATCCCATTATCTTAATCGTGTCTGGAATACAGGTTGTTTTATTTATAGTACACTACAAAGATTTAATTCAAATTCTGAAGTATTTTTAGCAGTGTTTTTAGATACTTTGCTGTGCTTTTCCACAGCCATAAAAAAACCTCAAATATTTTTTACTGCCACTGAGGAGAGCCTTCAGCAATATCACAGAAGAGACTTTAGATCTCTGAATGTACACATGCTTAAGAAGTACTGATTGATTGTTGAAGAGACCTAGATAAAGAAATGAGCCCTTCCAAATCCCACCTAAATAAGTGGTACAGAAATGGGACAGATGGCTTTACAAACAGCATGGATGCTGCACTTGCCTTTCAGAATAAAAGCAGCCTTCCCTGTAAGTAACACTGCACACTAAAAAGCTGTTACTTCATGTGGGAATGCTGTTTGAATTTTATGGCATAACAAATTAAATACATATTCTAAAAGTAACCTTATTTATTTTGATGTGCAGATTCCTGGGCAGCAATTTACGTGTAATACCAGTTCATAATCCTGCTGAAACTGTTAAATTAATGCTAACTATGGCTAGGGTAAGTCCAGTTGCATGCACTTAAAAATATTAGTGTATTACTCAGGAAAAGCCAAGAGCTATAAAATACTTGGTTTTCCTTAATGGAACTTTTTAGGTTATACTGACCACAATCCATTAATACACTGAGGTAGAACTGGTGCTCTGATGCATTAGCTGAGTCTTCCAACTACTGTTAAAGGTAACTTAATAGCTCTTAATAGCATCTAAGAAAAGAAATCAGATATCTAAGAGCTTCTTTGGCTCCTATTTACCACTGTTAAGTTAAGATGTCTTCACTTACTGTTAACTCCTGTTGAAATACTATCACCTCTGTGTAGAGCATTCCTGAACACCTACTTGAGAACACAAAAATCAAATTTCACTGCTAAATAATTTTGCATTTCTACTATTGGAAAAATAAAGTCTTGAATATTCTATTACCTAAAGTCACTTTGTTCTACTTATTTTTCTTTTCTCTAAGGTAACTTCCAAGCCACAAGCAGATGATACTCGTTGCAAAATAGAAATGACAAAAGCCCAAATAATAGAAAAAAGTCCAGTTTGGAAGATGCTTCAGGAGTACCAATCGCACCGTAATTAACTTAATATTTGTTTTTTTATTCATAAATAGAGTGGCTACATTTTAAACAAAATATAGAATGTTCTTAAAAATATAGTTACATTTCAAAAGACTACATACAACATATGCATTTGGCATGAAAATTCATATTAAATAGCTATACAATGAAAAATATCATACTTGATACCAAATGTGCTTTCTAGAGAGGGAAAAAAGTGGTTTAGCTGCACAATAGGAAAGTCATCCTTATTTTTAACTTGGTTCGGACCTTAGAGGCTCATCTATTTATTAATAATTCCCCAAAAAAATTACTGTTTTTTAAAGAAAGCTGTACAATTAAAGATAAGGATGATTAAAACAATTCCAAAATACAGGTATCCCTAAAAACAACGGCTGTATGTATGCAACCTTACACTGCTTTTAAACATAAGTGTTATCTGTTATGTTACTAAGTTCTTACATCTTATTTGGCCCAAGGTTGTTTTTCTTTAAACCTGGTTTCCTTTGCCACAGGGTTTGTGCTATCTATACATAGTATATTCTATAGTGTTAGCTATCTGTACCTCACAGTCCTGTCTGCAAATAGAGAAGCTTGTTTGTCAACATTAAAATGTGCTAATAAAAACATATTTTGCTTAATCAGGGCTTTTGAATTAATGGTTCTTCAATCACTTGATAAAAATCTTTGTAATTCACGACTCCAGTCAGCAACTATTACCCAACAAATTCTGAAAATTAAAAAAAATAAATGCCTAACCATACCTCCTTGCCACAGAGAGGAACACACCTGTTTTTTTTTTAGTTTCTAAACTTAAGAAAAAGCATCAAATTCGGAAGAGGAGTAAACAGACCATATCTCCAAATCACATGCAACAAGAGCAAAAGAAAATAAAAACCAGCAGTGAGACTTCTGAAGAGCAGCATTTGCAGTTCTTCTGGAGGCCCCTCTAAACTGCTCTTCTTTACAGGGCCACAGCCTCCCCTGCAACTGGAGTCTCATAGTCCAGTGATCCTGTCAGGAGGATGTAAATTCAAACACTTCAGCTGCCTTAGCTATTCTCATCCATTACAGCTTTTGTTTTCACTTCAATGAGTTCTTCTACCCGAGCTAGAACACTTTCTATTAAGTCAAATGTGAAGAGAGCTGAGTGTAAAACCTGAAATGACAAGAAAGATAAGTGTTATTTTTATTAGTTTTTTTTTATACATTTTACATTTACTTTTGTCTCCACATTGAAAAAAAAAAGTCAGTACTTCTGAGTGACTGAAGGGAAGTACACACTCACTTGAAGCTGCATTCCAGTAGTCATGGCAGGCATCTTTTCCCCACTAACAGTTACAGAGCAAACTGTGTTAGAACTGTGTGCCTCTATAGAAGAAAACATGAAGAAACCAACATGACCCTTAGAATTAAAAGAATATTTAAAATATTAACATTTCATGACAGCAATTGTTAAGAACAGAAATCTAGGGATTGATAAAACACATGACAGAGGGTGCTGAACCTTAAAAGGAAGGCAATTGGAGTTGGGTGATATCTTTATACTTTGTATAACACACATTCCTACATTACTAAACAGGCAAGATCTGCAACTGGAACTAATTTTATAGAGTGCACATGCTCTTCAAAATGAAGAATAAAATGTTATCTGGCCCAGTTTTGATACATTTTTAGTATTTCCACATCCAGGGAGATAGTAGGAGTTCTTTAGCTTGACTAAATGAATCCAGACATTAAATACTTATTTTATTAAGAAAAGGCTGCAGGCCTCTCTGTTTCAGACAGATTACTTGCAGCAGGCTAAACTACAAGGACAGGTCTGAAAAGTAAGGGAAAAACCTCTTACATTCAGACCACATATTTGAAATTCAATGTAATGCTTACAAAGATTAAACACAAGGGAAGAAAGCTAAACCATTTACTGTTACTATTTAGATGTTCTCTCCCAAACTCATATTTCTTTATGTTTTGTCAAAGGCTAGAGAACTGTAAGAGGGACTTAAGAAAAAAGCTTCCTGATTAATTTTGAAGGATTCCCTTTAGAGAGATATCCACAGGTTGTCTTGAGGAAAAAAGTCCCCTTCTTTGCCTCATAAGTACATGGTTTGCAATGGAAGAGGATAGGACTAGAGGCAAAAAGCTATATTGACATTTTTAGTGGCAGACACAAATTCCTTGGGCTATCTTAATTATACTGGAGACCACAAGGAACAGAGGATGTGACATACAGAGGGATTGCCTAAAGCAGCTACAGCTCTTGTGCCCCATGCAATGTGCCTGCTTAACCCAGGGCAGAATCTGATTCTGTGTGTCAGATAAAAAAAATCATGTATTTTAAAAAATGAATGTAATGCTTCAGGCTTTAGAGAGCACTGTGACTTATTTTTTCTTTTGTTAACCCTCCCACACCTGGTTTGAAACCTAAGGGTTATGTATTCAGAGAAACTTAGTTTCTCCTTTGTAACATTAAAATCAAAAGTATAAATGCAGAACAAGTTCTGAAGGTCTAAATGTGACAGTTCTATCAAGTTTCCATAAGATTTACAAATGTGATGACAGGTAAGTTCAGATTTTTCTGACCAATAATGAAAATTTTTAATTCAGCAACTACTGAATTATTATTTGAAATTTGGAGTAGTGGCAACAGTTAAATAAAACTTGATCTATGCAGCATTCACCAGTTCCTCATTTCCAAAGGATTACCAAAGTTTCTAGATATGAACAACACTAAGAACAAAAAACCAACAAAAACTGACCTTTTCTGTTTTCTTTCTTATTTTTAATTTCTGCTTCATAATGTGCTTTTGACATATTGAGTCCTACACGCAGCGGTTTTAAGAAATTCTGCTCTATCTTGCCAAGTGTGGTCCATACACCAGTCTAGTCAAACAGAACAGAGAAGGTTACAAACCAGGTTCAGTGAAGCATTGCAATACTAAGCTTTGAGCACAAGTTTTTTGACTAGTCTTTATAACATATACTTCTGTGCAGGGAGGAAAAGAGAAAAAAATAATTCAGAGTCATGCATTGAAGCATGAGCAGCATTGTGCTGGGTATTTCAGCTCCTCTTCCTCTCCCTTACATTATTTGTTGATTGGCTGATGAAGCAGTAAAAAAAAAAAGGTGCAGAGGTAGGGAGGACTTAGTGTGTAGGCTGGTAACTACAGCAATGGAAATGCACATTTTCAGCTTGCTCCTGTAAGCAAAGCTGAAAGAATCTGGATGTGTTGGAGGGGAGGTTCTAGGCCCTTCCTCAGGCTAGAATCTCTACAGCAAGTAAATGGCAGATGTAGGCTCCTCTCAGATAATTCAGCAGGAAAACAGAACAAATATTTAAATTGACATTCCTGAATTAAATGAAAGTTGTGATAAATATCATGCTTCCCAATTGTCTATATTGCATTTTAAAAGCACTGTAGGAATGTTACTGGATATGCTACTCTCCCATCCTTCAGCTCAGCAGCCACAGCAACAACAAAACTGTCCCAGTTTGACATGGGCAGAAAGGAGGCACAATGATGGCATTCAGGAAGCAGGAGGTGCAAGGGAAAGATGCTCAAAACCAAGGCTGTTCAGGGTTACAGAGAGGAAAATAAGCTTGGGTTTGCTACAAACTGCTGTAGAAGGAAACAAATCCAAAGACACAAAGGCTGCTTTGTATAGAGGAGCCATTTATACAACTCCTTTCTTCAGGCAGTATCCTCAAAGGGCAGAATAAGGACAATAAAAATAAGAATTTTCAATTTTAAATACAGTGAATCCACTAACAACAGTGGAAAATTCAGCGATTTTTAATACTAGATGACAGAGTTAACAGTTCAAATAAGAACAGTAATTACTTCCACCAGTATGTGGCTTAAAAAAGGAGCTTTCTAGAAAAAGACTTATTTTTAAACTTGATTAATGAAAATGCTTGCTACACAGCAATCAAGATATCTGAACTGACGTGGAAGGAGGCACTTTCTTTCTGCCTCACTTGCACTGTATGAAGAGAGACAGGGAAGAAGTCAAGAAGAACTGACAGAGGCTAAATTTAAGGGAAAATCTTCAGAAGATGTGATGCTATTTTTTCCTCAAACTGTATGGACATTCTTTTTGCCAGGTACTAGACAGCACTGTTAGAACAGCTGAGTGCCACTATGTGTAGTTTTTTATTAATAATAAAAGAGGAATTCTTACTTTTCTTACAAAGCCATGTATTTATATCTAACTGAGGAGATCACTATGAGTACTTAAATAGTACAAACAGATACAGTTTACCAATATTAACTAGTAAATAAATAGTAAAATAAATAAATAAATAGTAAATTTAGTAAAATAACTAAATAAATAGTAAATTAGAAATGCACCCACTGAAAGCTAATTTTGCTTTTTATTTTCATTACAGTTTCAGCAATCAGTACTAGTTATTTCACTGTTATTCTAATTAGATTAGTAACATTATTGGGTGCTTACAAAATTAATTCCTAGATAAATTTTCAAATTAGTCTAAAAGTAGATCAGATTTTTTTTTTTGTATTTTAGAAAACAATAAATTATATTATTGTGTTATTATTGCTATAAAGATATCCAGTTGGTGGTTTGAGGGATACCAGCAAATAAATAAGCAAAAATAACTATTTTTTCATGTGGGAATAATTGTTGGGTATGTGATTTTGTGGTGACATACTCTATTGTTATGGATATAGATCAGTTCAACAGGCAGAGTAAAAGGATTAATTTGTTTATAGGAACAGCATCTATGCAAACAATTTCATCAAAACAAAGCACCATATCATGTATTTCCTAATGTCTTAATAAAAGCATCACTTCTGGGGAACCAACCACTGAAAACAAAAATGCAAAACCCACATTTTTTTGAATTAGGGATAAGAGTGTTCATGTGAATCCATCTCTCAGCTAATCAATCACTTTCAAATCAAATAGTACGTACCTGATTGTCACTTTCACAATCCTTAATGACTAAGTACCTCAGCAGATTCAGTGATGCCATAACCCTGTGAATTACAAACACACAGATCCCTCTTACCAGG